GTGAGCCAGCGAGTGTGTCCCGGGCCGGCGGGAGGAGGGAGGCGTGTGCGGGTGAGTGTGCGTGTGCGCGCACGCACAAAAGCCGAGGCACAAAAAAAAGAGGAAAAAAAAAAAAAAAAAAGAAAAAGAAACTCTTGGAAAGCCGGGAGCAGCCGGAGCCGGAGCCGCCTCCATCGGATCCCCGGGGCAGCGGTGCAGGAAGTCCAGCTGGTTTTTTTTTTGGTGGGGTTTTTTTTTGGGGTCCCCCCCATCGCATCGCCTCTAGGATCCTGGGGGTTTGGGGGCATCCTTTCCTTTTCTTTTTTATGCTGCTCCTGCTTTTGGGCGGCCGAGGCTCGCGCTCCCCCGCCGGGCGGCTCCCCCGGGGGCCCCCGGCGGGCAGGCGCCGGGCCAGGAGGATGATCGAGCCCTGGGTGACTTTCGCCCTGCTCTGCGGAACTTTGTGCGCAGGTAAGGACGGGGCCAAGCCCGCCCGGGGCTCGGAAACTTCCCGGGCTCGCGGCTGCATTGTCCGGCCTCCGGAGCCGGTGGGTTGCTCTGCCCCTGCAGCTGCCGGGCGTGTGTGTATGTCCCGCGAAATGTTATGATCCCATAGGGTTTTTATTATTACTATTACTATTATTATTATTATTATTTCACCCCCCTTTCTATTTTTATAAGATGACTCATTTGCTCTGATTTGTGCCAGGCTGATGGAGCGGGTAGAAAGTTGTGCGGGCGCGGAGGGGAGACGGGGCAGGGCAGGGGGGCTGGTTTAACACCCCGCCACCCCCGGGTGATTTGAAACCCGAGCGCGGGGCTGGCAGGGACCTTGCCTGCCGCGATGGAAGTTCATGTAAACACCGGCGCGGCTCAGGGGCAGGAGGAGAAGGCCACGCTGCTCAGGGATCCTGCCCAAGGTTTGGGACGAGCCCTTGGGTGCTGGCTTTGTGCACCGGGGGAGGAAAGGAGGTGGCTTTTTTAGCTGGAGCCGGGTCCCGGCTGCTTTGTTGTGCGCTTCCCCCCGTGCCTGCATGGGGGGAGACCTCCCCCCTCCGGGCGGATTGCAGCGCCCACAACAACACGGCTCGTGAGCCTCATGGCTGTTGACGTCCTGGGTCTCGGAAGGAAAAATGCAATGACTTTAAAGTCACTTGCTCCCCCTCCTCCTCCATCACAACATCATCCCCCCTCTCTCTCTTTTTCTTCCAGGGATTTCTATTTTGCAAGGGGAGGGGATGAATTTTCACAGGGCTTTCATTTTATGCCCCCCCCCCAAAAGGCTCCCCCTCCCCTTTCCTGGCTTGATCTTGATTTGATCACCTCTGGCCCTCTGCTAGAGGAAGGGCTGCACGGTCACTTGTTATTTTGTCTCCATTTCCAAGCAGGGTGGTGGTGGTGGGTTTTATTTTGGGGTGTGCACAGAGGCTCACAATAGATGGTTGGAAGGAGGGGTGCTGCAATTGTGCCCTTCCCCAGCTCTGTGCAGGGTGGGGAATGCAGCCTGCTGCTTTTGAATCTTTATTTATTTATTTATTTTTAAATCCAGGGGCGCACACAGCAGGCAGGGACACCCCCCCCCCTTTGTTGCCTGGTTTCCCAGGGGATCCTGGCCCCAGGAGCATCCCCCCGGCTTGCAGGGGGAACCCGGGGGCGGGTTTGTTTTGGAATGTGCTGCGCGCTGAAGGCTGCCAGGCTGGCGCTGGCGTTTCTTTGTTCCCAGTGCCCATTGAATGTGCGGTGCCATCGCCTGCGCCCTGTACCATAAACAATGCCTTCTCTCAGTGGTTTGAAAGTCGCACCAAAGGTTCTGATGATGCTTGTGTTGGGGAGAGGAAGCAGAAGGACAAACAAAAAAGATGATGATTTGGTGGCGATCAAGCCAGCCAGGGCATTTATCGAACGGATGGGACACTTGTGTGTACAGCTTTGTTTCCTTGTGTTGCAAGGGGGGTGTGAGCGAGCACATTGACGGCAGCGCTGAGTAGGAGCAGGTATTTAGGAAGCAGCCGGATGGCTGGGACAATGGTGTGCCAGCGTGTGCCATCAGGCTTCGGGGTTTCTGCGATCGCAGCATCGCTGTCGGCTGGGAAATTCTATTATGTGCACCGAGGAGATTTATACTCTTTTGTACCTGTTCTTGTTGTGGACCTTTTTGACTCCTTTTAAACTGTGGGGCTCGCAAATGAGGGCTGTGTCTGCTCCTAGCATTGCTTCTCGTGACAGAAATATCAGAATAAAAACAAACAGCAAAAGGAAGTTTCTTTAAAAAAAATAAAATAAAATTGACTCTGAAATTTGCTAAGTGCATCAGGATATATACCTCGAAATATTAATACAAAAACAGACTCTGTGTGTGTGTGTGTGTGTGTGTGTGTGTGTGTTTGCTTTGAAAGCTCTCTGTGGATCATCAACTTGGAACTTGAGAGTTGTAAATCTCTTTTCATATTTTATCTTTCCCATTTCTTATATTTGGGAATGTATTTAGCCACATGAACCTGTTGCCTGTGCAGTGTTCCTTTTTCTTGTTGAGGTTTATGAAAAAAGTTGCAACATGTTGCTTAGGATTCACAGCTCCCCTGCCTTGCAGGAAATATTTCTTGTGTATGTTATATTTTAGGAGCATGCAAAAGTGGTGGGGCTTTTTAAAACCAGCCCAACCTCCATTGTTGATGGTTTTCAGTACTACCTTGGGTGATTGCAATAAAATAAGCACAGACTGCGGATTTTTTAAAAATATCCGTCATGTGTCTAACTTTTGGAATACCGATTATTTGTTGAGGAAAACATTATGTTCAATTTTTGCCTTTTGTTTGAAAATTTTCGGCAGCCCAAATGTTGAGAAATTGTGTTGTAATCTGTGAAATTTAGAGAATGCAGAAGGTGTAAGAGGGTTTGTTTTGCAAAACACATTGTGAACACATTTTGTTGAAACATTACAGTATTTAAACTTGCACCAAAATAAAGTACCACCAGGCAGCAATGAATTGAACATCAGATGGATCTAGGCTCCTCTTTCAGGATGGTGTATTTATCCTCTTCTGCTTGAGATGGGGACTGGCTTCATTAGCTTGCTAATTAAACACAATGAAATGCCTGGCCCAAGGTTAATGGCAATAGCCTTTAAAAAGACAAAACTCTTGAACCTGGTGTCCAGGGTGTGTGTGTGTGTGTGTGTGTGTATAACAACTTACATAAATACAGTGCGTGTGTATGTATATACATATGTTTATGTGTGTAAATATGTTTGTATAACAACTTGTGTGTGTATATATACACGCGTGCACACATGCTAGATAATGATGCTTCTCGCTAGGACTGAGACAGTGTTAATGCATTATTCTTAGTGGTAATACAGAAAGCTCTCAGTATATCTTATGCAGGTTGTGGTTTTTTTTAAGGGGAAAACAAAGCATCTTATTATGTCTTCCTTGCTGTGGTGGGAGAGAGTATGTGTTTATTAGGCCGAGTTAAAAATTCAGGTTCCCTAGAACAATTAAGGAGTCTAGGGTAAACCCTGCCATCCAGCTGAAGTATTTATACACTGAAATGTGTGCCATTTTCATGTGTCTTTGAGCAGCCTATCCAGGCACTATCACTTTCCTTACTATCTCATCAACTGAACAGAAACAGCCAATTAAAGCCGAGCTCTTGCAGTACCCACAGTCTTGGCTGTCACCACCCTCCTTTCCACTCTGTTCTCCATCAGCAAAGACATGCCTGTCGTTTTTTTTTGTGGTTTAGATGATGCAACAGGCCTATACCTCCCCTGCTCCCACTGCATAGATGCTTCAGAAGAAGGAAATAAGCCCACCTCTTTTTTTTGTTGTTATTGCTTCTATTTCTTTGTCTCCCTTTCTGTCCAGCCTGGACAAAATGCACGGCTTGCCCAGCGTGGTGATTCAGTGGTCAATTCAAATCCAGCAGGACAACTCAAAGGACTGGGTTGTGGTTGACGGGATTTATACCTTTTAGACCCACTATGCGAATCTGACTTCTTTCATTTGTGCTGTTCTGTCTGTGAGAAGATCTTCAGCCCACTGTCAGCATCTTATTTATAACAGGAACCAAATGGCATTTTTGCAGTTCCTCTCACGTGGAACAAAGTACTGGTTTTAGACGGGGCCATCCATAAAGGGGCTGCGTGCTCCACCCATGTTGGGTATAGTCCTAAAAAGTCAGCATACCTTTAAAATAATAATATCACTGAATCTTTGTAAGGCATTGCACTCAAAAGCAGTAATTCTGGCCCTTGTGTATTCCAAGGCCTAGTTTCTGATAAATGTACGAAATGTAGCTGTTGCTTCTATTAATCGGCTTTGCGGTGTTGGTACTACGTTTTGCTGGGGTTCAGGGACTAGAACCAGAGTGCTTTGGCTACCGAGCATTTCCCCACATTTTCTGCTGGCAGCAATATCTTGCAAGCCTTGTAAAGCTCGGTATCTTCCAGTGAGAGCTTGGTAAATTGTTTTAAGCTAAACCTAATAATCTGACCGAAACGTTTTACAAGTGACTGGGGGTTTTAGATGCCTCCACTTTGGATTTCTCAAGGTCCAGGCACCTTGAAGTTGGGTTCGTGTTCAGGGGATACTCAGTTGACACATTCTCCAAACGAGCTTCCCCCACTGCCCGGGCATGGATAAATGTACAACATTTGGATTGTCAGATAAATGGTCAGCATTGAGGACAAGTAGCCTTGTCTGTCTGAGCTGCCTCTCTAGGCAAGAATGGGGACGAGAAGAGAGGATGGCTTGCCGGACTTCATCAGGACAGCTGGGAGATCAGAAGGGCTGCTTTTAAGGATTGTGTAACTATTTACAGACTGACAAAGAAGCTGCTCTTAAAAACAGAACCCTTGGGAAGCCGTGTTTGTTTGGGATCTGCTTCAAAGTTAGCATTTCTGTTACTCCGCTGAATGAATGATGAAAAAAAGAAGTTATTAGTTTCTTGGTTAGCTAAAGGAAGCAGTGTGGGCCGCAGGGTGTAATTTCTTGGAGTTACTACAGTGCTTCTGGCTGGGTTGCTTTCTGTGTAACAGTGTTGTGGGGAAGTTGGGAAACTGGAACCACAAAGAATAATCTCTGCTTTTCAAGAAGTGCTGCCTTTCTTTTATCCTCCCTCGGTCTTTGATTTTGGAAGGAGCGGGAGGGGGGGCTTGATTTTTCTTGCTTGGCCAATGGAATTCGCCAGAATTGAATAATTCAGCGTCGCACTTGGCAGTCTTTCCTGGGCTCCCATTTAAGTCCTTTTTGCCTGTTCTTTCATGTGAAGATTTTCGCATCAGTGAAATTGGATGTCTTTAAGGGAGGCATTTGTGGTAATGTCTTTTGCCATTAAAGGCTCCTCCTGCCCCCCCTTAAAGATTAAAGCTCAACTGTTGTCCTCTGTCTTCTCTCCATTATTACTTAAACTTGAAATAATTTGAAGATGTTTAGCCATTTGTAACGCTAAGGTAGATTAAATAATACACA